ATAGATTCCATTTTGACAGTAGTGACTACAATTAAACTTGATGGAACAAATTACCTTGCTTGGGCACAATCCATTAAGATCCAGGTTTGTAGTAGAGGTAAACTAGGGTTTCTCACGGGTAGTAAGGTGATGCCAGAAGAGACTGATCCTACATATGAGAAATGGATGCAGGATACTACACAGTTATTGGGTGGTTGGTAAATTCTATGCAGCCCCACATAAGTCAACACTATCTGTGGATGACTTAAGCCAAAGAGATTTGGGATAGTGTTACAGAAACATACTCTCAGAAATTAAATGTTGCAAGGGCCTACAAACTGAAGAATGATGTGAAAAATTTAAAATATGGGAGAAAAGTGTGGCTGTTTACTATTCGATGTTGAAATCACTATGACTGGAGATAGATGTTATGGAAGCATTTGTATGGGAAAACACCAAAGATGCAGAAATTTTCAGAAAATTTGTGGAAAGAAATAGAGTGTTTGAATTCCTTACAGGACTCAATCCTGAATTTGATATTACAAGGCAAAATATTCTGGCCAAGGATGAAGTGTCACTTGCTCAGGCATACTCTATGGTGAGCAGTGAAGAGAGCAGGAGGCAGGTACAATTATAGACCCCACCTCCCCCAAAGCATTTTGCACATGCTGGATTAAAACCAAAGGGGGTAATTGAAACAAAGGAAGTGATATGTGAATATTGCAAGAAGCCGAAACATACAAAGGATTCTTGTCGGAAACTTCATCCAGATCTTCTTCTAGAAAGGTTTCGGAACAACAACAATTTTAAGAAGGGTGGTAGTCTACAAAGCGCAAGAATGCAAATGTTGCTACAGTATCTGAAAGTGAAGAAAAATTTGCTATGGTTAGTCTTCCTCCTCAGGCACCCCCTTTATATCCGCCTTTGCCCATTTAGGTATTCGTGCTTCTGCAAATCATGCTACAACCTCAGGTAATCGTATAATTCCTTGGGTTATAGATTTTGGTGCATCAGACTATTATGACTAGCTTACCCAACCTTTTTTGTTCATACCAGCTCCTCTCGGGTAGAGAGAAGATTTCTCTTGCCGATGGGTCTCTTGCTTCCATCTCTGGCAAGGGGGATGTTAGAGCCTCTGACTCACTTGTATTATCCTCTGTCCTTCATGTTCCCAAACTCAACACTAACCTTTTATCTATTAGCAGTTTGACAAAATCAATGAACTGCAACATAACCTTCTTTCCTACTTATTGTGTTTTTCAGGACCTGAAGTCTCGGTGAACGATTGGGAGTGGCCATGAGGCGAATGGGATATACTTGCTGGATGTCTCTGATCAAAGTTCTGGATTACCTAGTGCAATAGCTTTGGAGTCTGTTTTATCAGAGTCAGTTGATAGAGTCATGATATGTCATTTCAGATTTGGTCATTTGTCTTTTTCTGCTTTGAGTCATTTGTTTTCAGAAATGTTTAAGGGAATATCCCTATCGAGTCTTCATTATGAGTCATGTGAACTTGCAAAACATTGTAGACAATCTTTTTCAATGAGTAATAAAAGATTTGTTTCTCCTTTCCATATTGTGCACTCTGATGTGTGGGGGCCATATCATTTACCTGTTATGGGGGGTTACAAATATTTCATTCTTTTCATTGATGATTTCTCCCATTACACCTGGATTTACCTCATGAAATTCCGGGATGAAGTACCAAATATTGTACAAAAATTTCATGAACTTATACTTACCCAGTATAACACTCGGATCCAAATATTCCGATCTATTAATGTAAAGGAATATTTTGAGAAGAGTCTTTCCTCCTACTTTGATACCTTTGGAGTTATTCATCAGAGTTCCTGTTCCTACACTCAACAAAATGGAGTGGCAGAAAGGAAGAACAAACATGTGGTTGAGGTTGCAAGGAGCCTCCTTTTTGCTTCCCAAGTTCCTGTAAGTTTTGGGGGGATGCTGTCCTTACAGCTACATACTTGATAAACCGAATGCCTTCCCGGGTTCTGGGGTTTAAAACTCCCTTTAGCTTGCTTTTGCCAAATGAGGATCTCTTCTCTCTTCCTGTCAGAGTGTTTGGGTGCACTTGCTATGTTCATGTTCACAATCATCAAAGACATAAGTTTGAGCCTAAAGCACACAAGTGTGTCTTTTTGGGATATGCCTCCATACAGAAGGGATACTGTTATTTTGATCCGGTTCGTGGCACTCGCTTTGTTTCCAGAGATGTCACATTTGCAGAGTCTGTTCCTTTCTTTGGTACTTCTCCTGAGGGGGAGCATTTAGAGGAGTTGTTTGCATTGTCACCATCTGTGTTTTCTTCCAAGTCCCATTGGATCTTCTATGGAATCTCCTCCAATCGAGTCCTCTATTGACTCTTCTTCTCATGTTCCCGCTCCCCCTCCTCCTGCTCCTCCTCCCACATTTCCTTCCCATCCTATTATCCAAAGGTGGTACTAGAGACAAAGACTCAGAGACATGCAAGTTGTTTCCACGCCTTCAGATGTGCCTCTTGCTCCTCCCATCACTACTGAGGTAACAGGTCAGCCCTCTTCTACCACTTCAAATACCTTCCCTGACCTTGATCTCCCTATTGCCCTTCGCAAAGGCAAACGGAAATGTACAACTCATTGCATTTTCAAACACCTGTCCTACAACCTTCTTTCCACTTCCTACTATTCCTTCCTTGCCTCTATTTCCACACATGTGACTCCTAGATCTGTCCCAGAAGCCTTGTCCAAACCAGAATGGAGGAATGCTATGATGACTAAACTAGATGCTTTGCATAAGAACAATACCTAGGAAATTGTGGATTTGCCTGAGGGAAAGGAACTAGTTGGCTGTAAGTGGGTGTTGACTATTAAGTATCATTCTGATGGTACTGTTGAGTGATATAAGGCCCGTTTGGTTGCTAAAGGGTATACTCAGATGTATGGTATTGACTACTTGGAAACTTTTGCCCCAGTAGCCAAGATGACTTACAGTTCGAGTTTTGCTCTCTTTATAGCTTTTGATTGGCCTTTTCATCAATTTGATGTAAAGAATGCTTTCTTGAACGGGGACCTACATGAAGAGGTCTATATGTCTTTACCTCCAGGGGTGTATGGGAAGGAGATTCAAGGAAAGGTTTGTAAACTGAAGAATGCTAGGATCTTCCAGGAAAAGGGGAGAAGCAGTCATGCCTTGAAGGACTGCATTTTGTATAGGGCAATACATTGGTTAAAGACTCTGGATTTGTTTGATCATTTCTCCTTTATTGACTGTTGGAGGGATTGGTTATCAGTAGCAAGTTGTTCCTCCTCAAAGATAAAGGTAATGACAAGCTGAGTCCCCCCCCCCTCCTCATGGTCTTTTGAAGCTGAATTTTGATGGAAGTAGCCAGGGCAACCTGGGTCCCTTTGGTTTGGGAGGTGTACTGAGGAATGAGACTGGAGAGGCTGTCTTATTATACTCTGGCCCTTTAGGTGTTGGTAACTCTATTAGGGCAGAGCTGTTAGCTGCAATACAAGGAATAATTCTTGCAAAAGAAATGGGTGTGGAGCAGCTTCTGGTTGAAGGGGACTCTAAGACAGTGGTGAACTGGTTAAATAATCCGGAGAATATCACGTGGGACTATACGAATGAGATAAAGAAATTCAAATGGCTGACAAGGAATATGTCTGTAACAGTACAGTGGGTTGGGAGATCAGCTAATGCTTTTGCTGATGTCTTGGCAAAACAAGGGACAAACAGGGAAACATTGTTCTGGGTGCAACTGTAATTTGTGTCTTTTGTAACAGCCATGCTTTTTTTTTATGTAGTTTTTATGTTTTCTGTGTTTTCTGTATGGAGAGGCAGCACCTCACACCTCTCTAAGGGGATTCTCATGTAACCGATCTTTGAATTAATGGAATATGACTCTTTACTTATAAAAAAAAGTCTCTTCTTTGATCAGGTTGGCGCTTCTTTTACAATGTTTGGTACTGCCTGCTTGAGTTTGGTTGGGCGCTGGTTGGAGTTTGAGTTTGGTAAGATTGGTGGTTTGTTGGGGGTCTTTATGTATTTGGGCCAAGTTGTATTTTTTCTTTTGTGTTTCAGGAGGTTGGTTGGAGGGGGTTTCACTTTTCTTATTTCAGTGACCTTTGGTCGCTTGAATCTTTCTTATTTTTTAATAAAAAATATTTTATTACTAAAAAAATGCGTGTTTGAAACTTTGAATGTCACTGAAATCCCAACCACATAGTACTTTGTTATGGAATAATATGGAGTATCCAACAGCTGTTAAATACTCTATTATGTTAGTTCTGAATACCCTATTTTCATATGAAATACCTCTATTCCAACAACAAGAATAAATCTAAGAAATGATAGCACCACAGAGAGAAAATAAAGAAGTAAATGCAAGAACACAATATTTATGTGATTTATCAAAAAAAAAAAAAACACTCAAGATTTATGTGGTTTGGCAAACTGTCTACATCCATGGGCGAAGGTGAAACAAATTCAATCTACTAAAACCAAGCGATATTACAGCAATAATACAAACCAGAAAGCTAAAAGACAACCTTCTTCGCAAAAGAAACACTCTTTTAACCTTAAGCAAACCCTTGATAAAGTTTCCAGAAACAGTTATCTAAAATGAGAACCCATGGGCTAAAAACCTCTCACAAAGAGAACCCCAAGAATGGTCTCTCCAAAAGTCTCACACACACACATCTGTCTCCCTCTCACACTCTGTTTTTCACACAAAGTGCTCTATCCACACCAACACATGTACTCACATTGGAGACCAAAGAAAAAGACAAAAGGACTACCCAAAAAGAGTTGCTTCCTAAAAAAGATCACCACACTCTAAAAAGGTTACTTTATATTTCTCTCTTTTTTGCTTGGTGTGCTTTTCAAGCCATACCCCAACAAAGCCTAACTTAGAGTGTTTACTACTATGTTATTTTTAATGAATTTATATCTCCTTTTTTCTTTTGGCTGTTTCTCTATTCATGCTTGATTGTTCAAATGGACGTTCTTGTTTTGTTAAACAGGCACAACCTTTTCTCAATGTCCCAAGTAGGTCTACAGAGCTGGCTGATCCACTTCTTCAAGGGAACTTCCCTGTTAAAGGTTTGAATCAAGCGGTTGCAGTTGCTGCGATGTGCCTTCAAGAGGAAGCAACTGCCCGTCCTTCGATTGGTGATGTTGTCTCCGCTCTTAGTTGCCTATCAGAGGATCCTGATCAGGAGATTTCTTCACACCTTCCTGTTCAGCATCTAGCTTCTCAGGAGAAAAATTCAAGTAAGGATCTAGATATAGACAGTGCAGAAGCACGCAAAAGAGCTGTAGCAGAAGCCATTGAATGGGGTTCAAGGGCAAAACAACAATAGATCTTAGGGTGTAAGTTCTTCATTCTAGCCTCTCTGCTCTGCTCTGTGATCAAGTATATCTAAGTTAGCTTTTACTGAGCCAAAAGTCTTGTGGCCTATGGATATCATATATATCTGTTCCACAGTAAGAATGATAAGATGGCCACAGTGGCATCACATTTAACTGAGGATTACACTATATATGAGGGAAGCTTGATTTTGAATGAGGTTAGTTTCTGAGACTATTTCCTGTTTGTTTAAAGTTGCAGGGTGGTTGTCTATCCTTCTTTTATAGCGAATGATTCAAAATGGCTTACTTTTTGTATACTAACCAAATGTCCATGGTCCCAAGATACATGTTGTGATGTATCTAATGACATGCATTAGCAGAAAGTTACTGAAATTGGTACTTAAACAGAGTATGAAAAGGTTTTGATATGATAAATTGCTGATATATGTAAGCTTACTGACAACCAGTTACATATATGTGGTGGTCTTTAAAGATAAGAAAAACAGTTGATTTCACAAACATCCCATAAAGTAAACTATAATTCTATTCTCATAATGGCATGACTTAGAACTGAATATCTGGAGATAAATACTCTTAAAGATAAAAAATATATACTCCAAGAATTCTTGGTGAACATCAATTTAAGGTACTTAAGCAATTTGGTGAGCATAGCTTACTTCACTACCTTTGTGCTAGATCAGTCAAGTACTTGCTATATATTAGCTTTAAACAGAGAATTTTAGATCCAATACAGGTATTGGAGTTGCTTGTATGATGACAGTCATCATGCAAAAGCATAAGCATGGATGATGGCTTTTTGAGAAATAGATCAGGTAAGTCCAACGAGAATGTGTTACTTGTACATGTTTGTAAAACATTTATGATTGCTCTAGATCCTTCAAATAGGCTGATAATTTAATACTATTAAACTTGATTACATCGAATGCAGATTCAGGCCTTGAATAGTTAAGATTGAAAAATTTTCTAATAGGCTAGTAATAAGATGAAAAGTTGAACCACCAACTCCTAGCCACTCGTGGTCAAGTTGCATATAAATCCAAGGATAGAAACCACATCCTGTTTTCTTTGTTTTGCCTTTTTCTTGTCTATTTTTTCCCTTTTGACAGGTGGAGAAAGGGATGCCTTGGTACAAGTAAAAATTAGTAAAGAATTGAAGAACATAAATGATTTTTTACATTTAAGTTCTTTGAGATAAAGCGACAAGTGGCTGCTCAGATGTTGGAAAGAACAGAAGATGAGTTTGGATATCACATGTTTATTAATATTGACAAGCAGTAGTTGTAGAGAAAATGGGGGTTAATAGTATAACATTGTATTATCTTTCTTTTGTATCATAATTCTTGTATACTCTTGTACACTGTTGTATTTTACTTATTCATGTAAGGACAGAATTGTCCATTCACACATTAATATGTATTCCTTCTGTTTGAGTGTGTGACTCACTGAACACACCCCACCATTGATTTTCTCTCTTGTTTTCTCACTTTCTCAATTGGAACTAGCATATTATCAGAGCAGGTTGCTCTCTGATCGTTTTTTTCTTTGTTTGGTCATTGTTGAATGCGTTAATCCTAATCTCCTACTAAGATTTTGCCCGTTTTCTATAAATGCCTCCTCTTCCAACGAGTGGGGGACATTTGGCTAAGGAATTGTGAGTGACCTATAAGCTTGAGAACATAACAAACTCGTATGCAAGGCTTCTTTAAAGGAGAGAATTGCTAGCAAATCCTAGCAAGCTGAAAGAACACCAAGGAGCTCTTGCAAGTTGAGTATCGGGTTACCACATTCTTTAACAGGTAAGCCTTCAACCCCATGTTCTTTTGAGCTAATTTGTGGTGGAACGACACCATTAGTTGTGTAGGTAGTTAGCACATTCCTTGGGAGTAGCCAAGTTCTTATCCTATTCACATATTTCACTGTTTGCGTTCTTAGTTTTTCTTGTTCTTCATAGTGTTTAGTTTCTTTCCTTTCTATTTTCTTGATTTTCATCCTAGTTTCCTAGATCAATTTCACATCAATTTTAGGTCATCCATTAGCCTAGGGAATCATTTTTTTTTCATTATATGTTCTATTTTGCGTGCATCATAACTAGGTTAGATTCTAGCTTCATGTAATTAGTTCTCTTATTTCTTCTCCATCCTCTTGGAAACTAAATTCTTATTTGCATTGAATAGTTTCCACTTGCATTTGCTTTTAGCATTTATGTCACGATTTAGGGCTTTTATAACATCTCATATTAGGTAAAAGTTAAGTTTAGTTGGACAGTCATCCACTCATTTAGGTCGTGCATATATCTGCATTTAAGGTGTTTGCATTACAGTAATCTTGTAGATTTTTGAATTGCATCTAGAATAGCTATCCTTCTCTTAGGTTGTTGATAGTCTTCATATCACTCTTTTTCTCTAGATTTTCCTGCACCTTTTTGCATAAAATTTATCATCTTCTTTATGCCTTAGGAAATTCATTTACCATTAGATCCATTCATAGTGTTTTGCATTGTTCTCTTCTTCTAGTTGTCTTATTTCCCTTTTAGAATTCTGTTTTGCACTTGTTGGAAGTTCTAGGCATAGTCCTTGCATTTAGGCATTTAAGCCATCATTTTTCTTCAATTTCATCATCTAGGTTCCTGCTTTTGCAATGCCCATTGTCAGTAGGTGCATTTACAGAAACCTTCTTGCTTATTTTGTTCTTGTTTTCTTCAATTCCTAAAGCTGTAATCATTAGTCCATGCTTAGCCGAGCATTCTTTCAAATATGCTAATATCCTCTCAACTGCAAGGAGGTGAGTAGTTCTAGGAGAGTGCATATACTGACTAACTACAATGACTGCATAACTGATGTCGGGTCGTGTGAAACAAAGATAGAGAAGTTTTCCAACTAATCGTTGGAACGTAGCTTTATCTTCAAGAGGCTCTCCACCCTCTGTACTGATCTTGTATTTCTGTTCAATAGGTGTGTCAGCAAGCTTAACACCTAACTTTCCTGTTTCTTTTAACAGGTCAAGAACGTACTTTCTTTGAGAAACAAAAATCCCATGCTTGGACCTAGCTACTTCAATGCCCAAGAAGTATCGTAGTTCTCCTAGATCTTTTACTCCAAACTCTTGATAAAGGAGTTGCTTAAGGGACTCAATCTCACTAATATCACTTCTTGTTACTACAATGTCGTCCACATATACAACAAGCAAGGTTAAGGAAGAATCCACTCTCTTAATAAACAAGGTGTGGTCTGACTGGGCCTGTACATATCCAAACCTTTCAAGAGCTTGTCTGAATCTATCAAACCAAGCTCTGGGGGACTGTTTTACTCCATACAAGGCTTTGTTCAACCGACAAACCTTCTTTCCTTTTTCTATATCAAAACATCCAGGGGGCAACTGTATGTAAACTTCTTCCTATAAGTCTTCATTGAAGAAGGCATTTTTAACATCCATTGGATACAACAGTCAAGAATAATTGGCTGCAAGAAATAATAGGACTCTGATAGTGGTTATCTTTGCTACTGATGCAAAAGTTTCTAAATAGTCAATACCATTTGTCTGAGTAAATCCCTTTGCAACTAATTGAGCCTTATACCTGTCAACGGAACCATCAGCATTATGTTTCACAATGAACACCCATCTACATCCAATCGGTTTCTTTCCTTTAGGATGATCAACTATCTCCCACGTATCGTTTTTGATGAGGGCATCCATTTCTTCTTTTATTGCACCTTTCCACTCAGGAACTAACAAGGCCTCCTGTACTGATCTGGGAATGGGAATATCATCAATGGATGCAAGAAAAGACTTGTAGGAGGGAGACAAATGATCATAGGATAAGAATTGGGAAATGCAGTGAGTTGTGGATGTGGTGCAATGGTGTTTGCCTTTACGAACTACTATGGGAAGGTCAAGGTCATTCAATGAAGGTGAAGGTTTCATGGTGGGAGGTCTCTCATTTGTAGTATCTGGTGAAGAGACTGTGGTACCTGGATCTGGATCTATAGAAGGAATTGGACTGACCTGGACTATTGGTGACCAAAATCAACCTGCCTCCACCGTCTATGATAAACTCTCACATCTCTGCACCTTTGACCACCCTCCCCACTACACTCCTCTTCACTTAATGGGATAGGTAAATGACCTTTTGATGAGTTAATCCCGACCTCACTACTCTCCCCTTGAGGAGAAACCCTTGGATAATAGGGTACATCCTCAAAGAAAATGACATCCATTGAGACAAATCTCTTCCAAGAAGTGGGCTCATAACAACAATATCTCTTTTGAGTTTGTGCATAACCAAAGAAAATACATTTTGAGGTCTTAGGATCAAATTTGGAATGATGAGTTGCACAGCCATGTCATCACCAAATAATTCTCCTGAATCCACTTAGCATAAGTGGGATTCTCCTTAGTTGGTTCCTTCATATCCCCCAACAAATAGTTCAGTTTTCCTTTACCCCCAATGGCCATCATGGCTAATTGGACCCATTCTAAGTAGTCTGATCCATCAAACTTAACAGTTGTAATCTGGAAAGTGTTCTCAGTCATGTTACCAACCAGTCCCAAAAACATCCTCCCCTTGGCTCTTAAATTCCATTCTTGGTTAGGGGTTAATCAAAAAAACCTTCTAATTAATGTAACAATAGGCCTACTGGGTCTGAAACTAATAGCAGTAGGTCTAGAAGCAGAATTCAAATACCAAGTAGTAATTAAAAGACACTTTTCAATGTCCTGTAGCCCATGATTATGCAGTCGTGCTAAAAGGCGGGCTCTCCGAGGAGGGGGGAGAGGGGGATGAAGGAAAGTGGGAAGGTGAGGGAAGGAAGTTATAGGAGTGAAAAAGTGTGGGAAATCATTGAAAAAGTGTTTAAGGAAGTGGAAGGAAAGTTGATTTGGAGGAAGGAAGAGGGGAGGGGTTAGTGGAGAGGAGGGAAAGGATTGAGGGTAGAGGTGGAAGGAAAGGAATAGGGAAGGAGGGAGGTAATAGGAGAGGGAGGTTGGATGGAGAGGAAAGAACAGAGGTGGGACCAGGGGAGAGGAAGAACGGGCAGATGGA